CACACGATAAAGACCCTCATAAGCGAACTGCTCATATGCCACAAAGAAACCAGTGGCAAAAGTCGTGTACAATGCAGCCTGGATGTTAGAAAAAATTGCCTTTTTCTTTTTCGTTCGGCTGTTGATAGAGAATAAATGCACCGCTCGTCAGACTCATGTGAAGCACGTATTCTTTCTTTTTCTTCTCACACACTGACGGCGCAAAGTACTGCCTAGGAAACGTACAGTCATACACTGGTAAAACTCAGCAGTTTCACGAGAACCGCCGCAAACAGGTTATGATCGAATCTTCGAACGTAATAAAATACGTCTGAACGTTTGCGACTTGAAGATTCGATCATTAACGGTTCGTGGCTCGTGTTTGTTGCGGTTCACGCAAACTTTAAAAATAACAATCGAAATGGAAAATAAATACGATGCCTATGCAAATCTAATGAGATTTATTCACTGAAGACTACAAGTCGCAATAAAAAATAAAGGCGGCCACACTAAATATTGATTTTAAATAATTTATTTCGCAGAGCTGTACTTATTATGATACATACGAGATCATTTAAAAAAGTAACGGAACTGGTGTCACAAACAATTTATTTTAATTCCAAACAACATACCACATGGCTTTCCCTTGAAAGTAATCCGTCCTTCGAGTCTAATGCACTTTTCCATCCTTCTTTGGCACACTTCTATGCACTTCTGGAAGGTTTCTTCTTAGATGCCTACCAGCACCATCATTACCTCGCCCCCCCTTGATTGTCTTTATGTCTTCAAAACATGCTCCTTTGATGATGAGCCCTTTCAGATTTGGAAAAAGATAAAATGTCACACGGTGCACGATCAGATGAATATAGAGATTATTCTACTATGGCGATTTTCTTCTCGGCTAGGAATATTCTCAGGGCGTTGCGAGCAGATGCATTGCCGTTGTGAAGCAACCACGGTTCGTCCTGTCACAACTCTCGTCTCTTCTTGCGCAACTGCACGGGATAGCGTACACGCAGTCCATATAACATCAGAACAACCTTCAAAACTGGACGACATTTCGCAGATATCTCTCTCGAGTAAGACCCCCCATAAAGAAGAATATGACTAAAGACTGTGTGTACGCCACCCCGTGCAGCTGCGGAACGAAATATAAAGGGGAGATAGGCCACCCCCTTAAGGTAAGGCTTCAAGAACACCAGAAAGCTGTAATACAAGGGGAAGTGGAAAAATCAGGTGTGGTTGACCACATATGGAGAGAGAAGGGAGATCAGCGCCCACCGTGGGATCAGGTTGAGATCATAAAGAACATCATTGGAAGATTCGTAAACTTAAGGAATCAGCACATATGCTAGGCCACAAAAATCTCCTGAGCCGACCAAGCATAGAAATAAATGCAATATGGGAACCAGTAATAAGGAGTGCCAGAGAAAAGCGATAATAACAACAAAAAGTTGCAATATGAGCTCTGGTAAAAAACATACAATGATAACAGCAAAAATTGCAATATGAGCACTGGTAAAAAATTGTTTGCTGAAGACATTAAGTTTATAATACCCAGAAATTCATACACAGATGTCCCCAAGAACACATGTCAAAGTAGATAAAGGCGTTAGTTAGATCCAGTGATAGGACCCAAAGAGTGTGAGTTCAATACCTGGTTAAGGCAGTGGAGAACTTGGAGGGGGGAATTAACAGGAGATAACTGATGGCATCCATTATACATGGCACGTGGAACTAGTCTACCCCAGTGAGCGAAATAATGGGTTCAGTTCGACATTCCAACCACCTGAAGAAGGCCGGAGCGTACAACGGCCGAAATGTTGTAATAAATATGGCGACAAAGATGACGACAATAGTCCGAATAATGTAAATAGTGTTTATCTCATCTCAGAAATATAGACAGATACCGAAGTAAGTTTTATCAATGGAATTCCTTTATTAAGAACACTTGCGAAGGACATCCCTTAAAAAAGATGAGGAAGGAGAGTAGCTTAATATACCAACGGATGATGCATACAAGCGAGGACGCAGGTAGATGACAGGGGCTGCGGGTATATAGAGGGTGCAGTTGCGATTGCAAACCATGTACACCACGGGCAACGCCGGATACCACGGTTAGTATTATATATATATATATATATATATATATATATATATATATATATATATATATATATATATGTGTGTGTGTGTGTGTGTGTGTGTGTGTGTGTGTGTGTGTGTAAGGTTTCGACAACCTCATTGAGTTTTTATATTTGCGTCGTGTGTGACATTTGCCATTCTCGACCTGCATACAAGTTTACATATTGGGCAATAGCAAGAATCTAGGGACATAGCAACAGAAATATTTACTGACACTTTTCGCCGTTGTCTTTCGTCTCTTAGCAGGTCAATACAAATGATTTCAAAATTTTTGAGGCAACTCTGTCACAAATATCTCTAGTTATTTCTATCCATGGCAACTCGTTCGATGTTAGTACGAGGCACATTCACAGTTGAGAGGTTACTATTTAGCTTATCTCTATACCCAAGCCAGGCGCACCAAGCATGAGGACTATGCATGAGGCCCTTAGGTATTCTGTCATCACTCATCCTTGTAAAATGACTAGCCCAACAAAATTGTGACGGCATCAGGAAAGTCTCAATTCCACCAATGTTGCATTTTGAGAGAAGATCAGCTTTACTCTCCCTGTTGTCAAAAGTATAATCACAAAGACATCTAGCTTTGACTGATTTGGGACCGATTTCATCCAAAATTCTGAGCTTCTTACAAATTTTTTTTTTCATTAAAGTGTTTATATATATATATATATATATATATATATATATATATATATATATATATATATATATATTAAGGGTTTATAGAAAATATTTATATATGGATATTTATTTATTTATTTAAACGTTATTTTTTTTTTAGAAAATTCGCAGATTTTGTTATTTGCATTACATTTGTTTATGTGTGTGTGACATTACATCTGAATATTCGAGAAATCTTGTTTAGAAAAATATGCGCTCTCTGGCAGGATTCGAACCTGCGTCCCAGGGAGAAAACATTATCAGATCTGACCTCTCGTTAAAACCTTCTGATCAAACAAAGCCCGAATAGTAGTTTTACGTATGTTTCCAAATTCTCGAAAAACATAACTGTTTGTTTTTAACATAAAAAAGACATTTGTTTATGAATAGATTGAATTGACAGAGGCATTCATTTGTTTAAATATTTTTGGGGGACAACTCATATTTGAGTAGATGTTCTGTTTTATTATTAAACTGTATATTTGTTTGTTTACATCTGTCCTGAATATGTGTCTTGTTTATAAAACCAGATTCTCCTGGGGTCATTGATGTGTGTTTGATTTATATACGTAGAATATGTGTTCAATTTCTGTCCTAAAATATTCCTTTATCCAAAAGCAATATCCAACTTCATTTGATCTGGATATTTTTTTTTTTTTGGAGAGCCGAGATGTTTATATATATAGTTCGAAGAGATTTCGAAGAGCCGAATTGGAGTGCAGATTTGCTGAGAGAGCCGAGTTCGGAGAATTCAGAGAGGAGAGCAGACTGGAGAACCAAATTCGGAGAGATTTCGGAGAGCAGATTTCGGAGACCCGAATTTGGAGAGCAGATTTCGGAGACCCGAATTCGGAGTGCAGATTTCGGAGACCCGAATTCGGAGAGCAGATTTCGGAGACCCGAATTCGGAGTGCAGATTTCGGAGACCCGAATTCAGAGAGCAGATTTCGAAGACCCGAATTCGGAGTGCAGATTTCGGAGACCCGAATTCGGAGAGCAGATTTCGAGACCTGAATTGAGAGAGCAGATTTTGAAACCTGAATTGGAGCGGAGATTGAATTTGGAGACCTGAATTGAGAGAGAGAGATTTAGAAAGAGAGACCTGAATTGGAGAGCAGATTTGCAGATTTCTTGAGACCTGAATTGAGATTGCTGATTTCGGAGACCTGAATTCAGAGAGAGAGCAGATTTCGGAAACCCGAATTCAGAGAGCAGATTTCGGAGACCCAATTCGGAGTGAATTTGAGACCAGAATTTGAGAGTATTTTGAAACCCGAATTGAGTGCAGATTTCGGAGACCTGAATTCGGAGAGCAGATTTTTCAGATTGGAGACCCGAATTCGAGTGCAGATTTCTGAAGACCCGAATTGGAGTGCAGATTTCGGAGACCTGAATTCAGAGAGCAGATTTCGAAAAAGCAGATTTCGGAGACCTGAATTCGGAGAGCAGATTTTGCAGATTTCGGAGACCCGAATTCGGAGAGCAGATTTCGGAAACCCGAATTCGGAGTGCAGATTTCGGAGACCCGAATTCGGAGAGCAGATTTCGGAGACCCGAATTCGGAGAGCAGATTTCGGAGGGCCGTAGCCGGAGAGCCGAATTCGGATTACCGAATTAAATTCAAGTTCTTTACATTCATTTACGGGCAAATAGCCTTTTGAAAGGTATGAATCCGTCTTTTCTCACCCAAGCATCGGCAGTCTTGCGTGGCAACCGATCAAGGAGAAGGAAATCTCTGAATTCAAAATCTGGTGAGGATGTCGATTGAGGACCTTGTGACACTCTATGTGTGCCAGTTCTCTGTTTTCGACACTGCTAAAGGAAAACAAAAAAAATAACATTGCGTTTAAGTATGAAACAGAATATCACCGCTTGATGTTCACCGCAGTACCCACTTCAGTATTTTGTATTTACATATGCTCTATCTCTGATATATATATATATATATATGTGTGTGTGCGCGCGCGCGTTTGTTATCTACCTAGCTTATTAGTTTCTAGTCTATTCAAATGTATCCATCTATAAACGACTAGAAAAGTTTATTTGCATAGCACAACACATCTTTGATCTAACCCCAAAAGATATATATCCATGAAAGGTCTGGTTTTGTGCTCTTAGCATTCAAAGGGAAGCGTCCACATACGAAGGTGCATACATCGGAATAATTATACAGCCCGTTGCACCTGTCCTCGTTTCTGCAGGTGTACCTTTCTAGATTATGAGAAAATATCTTGCAAGTGGGTCGGTCGGTTGATAGGAAGGGCAACAAAAAAAATCAGAAGAAAAAACGAGAAAGAGAAAGATGTTTTGTATTTATTTCGATTAGCGTACACATACTAGTAAAACAGAGAAGCACATTGTCGTAGTCATACTTTATCACACGCACATACACACACAGGCAGACAGACACACACAAGCATTACACACACACAGATAGATAGATAGATAGATAGATGGATAGATAGATAGATAGATAGATATATAGAGCAAGAGAGCGAGAGACAAGTTAGATTCCTTTGGAACCACAATACCAGTCTGCTGAGGAGACTGCGTATATATATATATATATATATATATATATATATATATATATATATATATATATATATTCATTCAACATCATCTTGATAAGACACCAGAAGTGTTGAAACAAAATGGCTATTTTTGTAGTGATTTTATAACATATTTATGTTATAATTTTCGAATAAATAATTGTATTCGCTCTACTCTGTGTTGAGCACTCTTTTAAGAATAGTAATTGTTGGTTATTGGAATTTATTCCGTATACACCAATCCTATACCTGTATATATATATATATATATATATATATATATATATATATATATATATATATATATATATTGTGTGTGTGTACTTAGGCAGCATTTTTTTTTTTCATTGATGCATGTTTCATTAAATAATATAGACAGGTTTTGTCTATTTATTTTATGCAATGATAAGCTTAATAACATTATCATTGAAAGACGAAAGAAAATCACCATATTGATACATATTTTATAACCCTATCTAAGCTTTCGGCTTACATAAGACATCATCAAAGAAGATTTCCAAGCAACGACATACTCATGCATACGAGACGCTGAAAGCGAAAATCGCACCGCGGCCCATGACGTCACACATGATCAAGCGAGAGTGAAAACGTGAAGTGTTAAGTATGGGAAGCCGTTGATATAAACCTGTGGCTTCTGTTATCAGTTATAGGCATTTAAGAATATTTGTGGAGATTCCATAGTTTATTTTGTTCAGGTTAAGTTTCAACTGTTTTATGTATATAGCTTCAAGATTTTTTAGTTTTTGTTTATTGTTTTCATGTTTAAATATAGTTGTGTTTTCAACAAAGATTTTCCGTCAATTGAGTACGCGAGTATGGTGTTTTAAATGACTAAAATGTTAGTTATTATATTATGTAGAGTCCAGTATATATATATATATATATATATATATATATATATATATATATATGCAATTTAAAATTTGTGTATTTCATTGAAAACGACAGATATGCTTGTATTTAGTTTTTTTATAAAATTTCTCATGTGATCTAATTTTTTTTTTCTTTTCGGATAATAAACTATTTAAAAATTGTCCGAATGTTCTTTTTATCCGAGCGCTTTCGGCTATACATTTAGCCATTTTCAAGGATTATATTTTAACTGCGAAAATAAGAAAGAGTTTGTTGTATGTATATTTTATAAAATGTTTTCATTTTTTTTCAAAACACGGTCAGGATATTACGTCCATGTTCAAAGTTTATATTATTAAGTGTTGGTTTGTTTGTTTTTATTAATAAGGCTTCCATCATTTTTAGCCTTTTTTGCATGTAGATGATGCTATTATATTAGTGTTGTCAACAAGTATGTTACGAATAGGGTCCGGTAGGTCTCCATGATTATTTAAATGAGATCTAATTGAACTATTTTCAGAAAGGTGTAGAGTGAATGTGCTTGTCAGACATGTTGTAGTGTGGCCAATATAATTATTTACGAATTTTGATTGATCAGGTATACAATTCCTTAATGGGCATTTAAATTCGTAAATAATATTTGCCCTATTTAATTTTGTTCTAGGAGGTGAATTATTATTTTTAACTATAAGGTTAGAGGTTTTAAACTTAACTTTTAAATTATTAGATCGCATGAGTAATTGTATAAAAAACTAAATAAAAGCACCTTGTCTGTCGTTTTCAATGAAATGTGCATGAATATATATATATATATATATATATGTATATATATATATATATATATATATATATATTGAATATTAAAAAAATATATTAAAAAATTAAAATCTTCAGACACACTGGGTTGTAGATTAATATTCTTTCGTTTTTTTATTATTATTTCATTTAGGTTCCTCGACTAGTTTCGGCTGAAATGGCCATCATCGCGAGGAGAAATATTTCTGCTTGCTCATATATATATATATATATATATATATATATATATATATATATATATATATATGAAATTATTAGGAAGATTTGAGATAATCATAATTACGAAGAATCCACATCTGCATTCTGTTCAGGATTCTTCTAGACTCGTTGAATTACTTAATTATGAGGTGTTACTGCATTTGAAGATTAGCCAGTTTCGAACCTTATCAACAAATTAATTTTAATGTTTATGTTAGTTATAAAGACGAGTATTAGAAGAATTGAAAATATCATTTTTTTTAAGGATCCCCAGTGACATAAAATGTGCTCAGAATCCTAAAATAAAAAAATGTAATTACATTAGTCGGACTATTGTCCTCATCTTTGTCGCCATATTTGTCACAACGTTTCGGCCGTTGTACGCTCCGGCCTTCTTCAGGTGGTTGGAATTTCGAACTGAACCTTTTATTTCGCTCACTGGGGGAGACTGTTCTAGTTCCACGTTTGATGGATGTCAGTTATCAGTTATTTCCTGCCAATTTTCCCTCTGAAAGCTCTCCACTGCCTTAACCAGGTATTGAACTCACCTTCTTTGGGTCTGTTACAGGATCTAACCAACGCCTTTATCCACTGTGCCATGTGTCCATCCAGTCGAAAACTAAGAATTATTTAATTAGAAAAGATTTTAATTGTCTTTATGAATAAAAAATATTATTGACACAAATCTTTTAAGAAAAAAATTGTTTCGATGAATAGTGAATTTTTATAAGAATTTTTTTCATTTTTTAAAATTTTAATTAAAAATCATTTATGAATTTTTAAAATTCTGTATAAATTTGTAACAATCAAGTGATATTGTTATTAAATTAAATATATATTTACTAAGCATAAATGAAAAAGCTTATCACAATTCATGTTTCCCAGTGATATTTGTTTATGCGTGTATAAACGTACCAATTTTTGTAAATACGGGTATCCATACACAATATTATCAGAACATAAGAACGGTTATTAAAGTAAATTTATTGGTAATTATGTTAACATTTCTTCAACAAGCATCTTCGTAAGTAAAGCTATGAAACCAAACTACCTAAAATTAAATAATATATTAAAATGCTTAAAATATTATTTTTTTTAATATTACTGGGTAATTAAATATCTTATCTAAAAAGTCATTTACATTGTATCCGTCGTGTAATTTTATCCGATTATTTCCTTAGACAAATATTCCAATCAACAGACTGTCGATAGATATGTCAACATCTCATAAAAATCACCCACATCCACGTTGAAATAGAATGGTTTTCTGTGATATTTTAAACTAAAAGTAATATTTATTTTAATTCAGATTAATTACACTTTAAATCAGCAAGTCTTCCTCGAGTAAAATTTCAGAAATGTATATGTTATTTTTGAAAGATTTTTATTTAATAAAAAAATTATGTGGTATTCACATTTTTATCCATACGAACGATACAAAATACAATCAATCTAAATTACTTTTGAAATAAAGCAAAGTATTTTGTTCATTAGAAATAATAAATTTAATCTATTAACTGGGAATTAAAACTAAATAAACTCTTCAAGTAAGATTTTCATTTTTAAAAAGCATTTAAAAATAACGTATCGCTTTTTTCTAAGCTACCTACCTACATACATGTATACATACATACACATACACACGTGTGTGTGTGTGTGTGTGTGTGTGTGTCCAAATGAGAAAGAACAGATGGAGCAAAAATCCACAGTTCGCAGTATTTATTTTTTTTAAAAAGTCCTTCATTATTACAATAAATTACAAATTTTAATTTATTATAATAAAAATATTATAATTTATTATAATAAAAGTATTACAATATATATATATATATATATATATATATATATATATATATATATATATATATATATATATATATATATTTAATTGGCGAATTAACAACGTTATCAGATACACGGAATCAATCATTATTATTATCGATTAATAATCAGAAATAAATGAAACACCGAAAAACAATTTATTAGATAAGATTCCACTGTTTTATTCCACGATTTATGATCTTTGCGTTCACACAGTATTTGCTATTATTTAATGGGTTATGATCAATTTAATGGGTAATGAACAATTTCATGGGTTTGGAACAATTTAATGGCTTATGAACAATTTCATGGGTTATGAACAAAATACTTGTCACCATATTAATATGTTAAACAAATAAAAAAAAATATTATTATTGTTTTTCTATTTTTCATTCTTCATTATTTTTTAAAGTATTTTTATACTTCATTGATGAGTCTATATTAAAATTTGAAAACACTTTCTGATTGATTCAGGCAGGTATATATTTTGTCTGGTTTCCGATCACAGGGGTAAGTAAGTTCATGCCTTTTTCCATGACTTACGTGAATCAACTATTTTGGTCGATGTTTTCTGAGTTGAACTACTCTCCTTGGCACCTCCTTAGACACACGCACGCACACACACAGACACACACACAGAAACACACACACAAACACCGTGTCACATTTATATGCGCAATTGCGAATAGTTCATTTGTATCGAAAGCTAATCAACATGGCTGTACAGACAGACGGTGTCAGTGAGTCTTATTTGTGTATCAGGTAAGCAGCCAAGTTACAGTTATGTCGGAAGTCCGCTACACAACAAGCGAACCGAACAAGGGACCTGACAATGTGTACGCAGTATTCGGCGCATATCTTTGAATAACAACAGTTATTGAATAAGGAACAATGCGAGTGATAACGGTGTGTGGTGGGGGGTAGGAATGGGTTTGGGAGAAGGAGTGGGAAAACGAGAAACACATTGTAAGCAGGAGGAAAAGAGGAGGGAAGAAACTGAAGGTGAGAAGAAATAGGTAGAAAGTTATTAATACGCATTGAAAAATAGTACTTGTGTAAATACGTACTTTTTAATATGTACATACTTTATGCATAGAGACACTTATGTGTGTGCATAAACGGCTAGTTATATCAGTATATATATGTAATAAACTGTATGACCAAATACTATAGAAGTCATATAATATGTGACTATGTCAATTAGATACACGCGTGGATAAACCGTAATTGTTCTTATATTAAGAGAATGAAATTTGTCGCCAAAATAATTGTCTTGTAAATATAAACAAAAGATAAAGTCGATGGAAATGAAAGTTTATTAATTCAAGACTTTTATTAATTTGTTAATAAATGAGGAAAATACTTTAAGCAATGGCATCATTATTACTATACTTGTATAAAATAAAAATTTTCATAGACAAGTTACTAAGTTGCTGTTCAAAAGTCAGTAGAATCAAACGATTTCAGTTTTGAGTTGGCAAGAAACAATAAAACAAAGATATTTTCATCAGAAACTGTATTCAGTAAATGGAATTGTATGTCATCTATTTCTTCAGAGATTAAATCCTTTCTCAAATGATTAAATATTGTCATAATACTAGTGTCAATAAGATGGTTATTTTTTAAGTCAGATTACAGTTCTTAATGCAATTTAATCCGATATTTAAATGGTATAAAACTGTAGGATACCTTTGTCGCCAAATAATTATTACATTTAGTGCCAAATAGTTACTTTATTTATAAATAAAAACAAAAGATAAAGTCAATGGAAATGAAAGTTTATTAATTCAATTCTTAGAACTATTAACTTTGGAAAAGATTTAAATAATTTAATTTCTAGTTAAGCATTTTTGGCATTTTATAGCATGAAACAGCCTGTCAAGTGTTGATTTCAATGTTCACTTTTACATTTACACACTCTATCTCTGATATTGAGCACTTTATCCCATAAATATAGCAAACCTTAAGTATATATCTTTTTATATATATATATATATATATATATATATATATATATATATATATATATATATATATATATATATATATATATATATATATATATATGCTATTTTAGTGGATACACGTGTTTTAAATAGATGCGCCGTTTTTTGTTTTTTTTTTAAACGTTGTTTTTTGTTTTTGTTTTTTTTTTTGGGGTTTTTTTTAAGCATTTCACCCCAAACAAGTCGGGATGCCACTAGTACGCAAGGGGTTACAGAGTGGGAGTGAGAGTAAAGAGGCGTGATGGAGGAAAGGATGAAGAGAAAGACAGGGAATAGCTCAAAGCATCTGGAGATGTCGATTGACATTTACATTTGAATAGTTGGAGATTATAGCTATCAGGGAAACAATAGAAAGGGAATTCCACAGACGCGAGGTGCGAGACATAAAGCTATTGGAGTAGAAGAGACGGCCACATTTAACCGTTTCGACACTGAAAGAGTGGGACTGAAATGCCAGCCTAGTAACACGTTTAAATTCATGAAGTCTGGGAACTAGCGAAAGTAGCTCGTCGGAGCAGTTACCGTGAAAGTATTTGTAGAAAAGACAGAGGGAGGCAACGGCACGTCTGTGAGAAAGCGAATGTAGACAAGATGCCAGATCAGGACCAACCACATTGTTTATCCGTCTCTCGATTGTGTTTGACGTCTCTCGGCCTACGCACTTGAGAAAACTTAATAAATATTGTCTGTATTTCTGAGATGAGGTATTGTAATTATTTACATAATTTATATTGATCGGGCTGTTGCCCTCATCTTTATTGCCATATTCACAACGTTTCGACCGTTATACGCTCCGGCCTCCTTCAAGTGATTGAAATTTCTAACTTAACCCTTTATTTCGTCCACTGGCTTAGAGTGTTCTACTTCCACGTGACATGCCGCTTCCGAATATCTCAGTTATCTCCCTTTAACAAAACCAAGTGTTTGTTCCCTGCAGTAGCCATAACTAGTGAAGTGTTGAAGAAAAAATTGGAGATTCAAGTTAAAGGGAGATAACTCAGACATTCGGAAGAGGCTAGGTAATATATATATATATATATATATATATAATTTTTACGTAGGTTCTTTTTAATCCGACATTATATATATATATATATATATATATATATATATATATATATATATATGTGTGTGTGTGTGTGTGTGTGTGTGTGTTTAATCAGTGTAAATATTATGGGCTAGTCACACGAGTAAAAACAATTTTGCAAGCAAAAATGTGCCTAATGTAAATAAATATGATTTGAATAACTACTATAGTTTTGCTGTCGTATTATCGAGTATTTTCAGACAGCCTGAAGATCCAATAACAGCGAAACTATAGTAGCTTGTCTATCAGTTTAAATTGCTGTCATTTCCTTATATTTTATTTACTGTCATGCACACCCACATACACATATAATTTAATCTTTTACGAAAATGAATTACAATTCAATCAAACACAGGTTAACGTTGATTTTTCATATAATGCTGAATATCTTTCAGAGAGACCCACATTCAGTGTAAATATTATGTTTTGTGGATCTGCCAAGCACACGCACAATTATGAGTTTCGGGTGCGAGTGTACGTAGCACTTTTTTTTTTATAAGATCCCAAAACTGTTACATTTTAGGTTCATATATATATATATATATATATATATATATATATATATATATATATATATATATTAATCATTTCATCCCAAGCAAGAAATAAAGCGTGTGAAAGAATATGAGAAAAAGAAAGCACTGCATTTAAATCTTTGATGATCAAAGTTGAGTGGGAAGTCAGAGGCCGGAAGGTGCATGTTCGCCATGACAGTTAAAACGGCAAAATAAAACTGAATGAAAGGAACGAAAATTTGTTGCACACATTATTTTGGTCTCCTCATTGGAGATGGGCAAATTAGGATCGCCCTAAAATGTTAGTGTAAAATAAAATGTTAGTGTAAATATAAATGTAAATAAAATGTTAGTGTAAAATAAAAGCTGTTATTTGAACATTCTATTCACAAGCATCACCGTTCTGTCAGTCGGAGTTACTCATGCTTCATTTGACTTTTTAGCTGAACATCAAAAACGGCGCCTAAATGAGAAAAGAACTCATTTGGCGTTGGGTGATGGTGGAGGAGCAATGCTTTTATGTTATCATGCATTTTCGAAATGATTTCTAATCACATTCTATGTTCGCAACGATCATTCAAAGTGAACGCGATTGTTACAAATAATCTTTCATATATATATATATATATATATATATATATATATATATATATATATATATATATATATATGCACATATATATCCACATTTCATTGAAGACGACAGACAAGGTGCTTTTATTTAGTTTTTTATACAATTTCTCATTATTATTGTTATCATCAGTATCATGGTTATCACAACTATTATCATAATTAACCTTGTTATTATTGTCACATATTGTGTCATTATATATTTGTTTTCATCATCATTATGGTCAAATTTACCGTTAACACATCAATAACTATTATTAACATATCAATTATAATATAAATTATTAGCGTTATCAGTATAGTAGCAATCATCAATAATACATAAGCAGTCAGCTTTGAAAATACAAAACATCATCATCACTATGTTCACAAAGAGAACCAATTTAACCAAAGTGGTGATGAAAAGCCCAGACAAATAGGAGTGCATGTACACGTCTGCATGTGTGTGTGAGTAAGTGTAAGTTCATCTTACGACGCAGACGGCCTATCTGAAAAGTACACCCGCCACCTGCCCCTAGAATGAACATCGATACATTAGTAAGCGCTACGGTCTTGACACCGGAATAGAATTACAAATGCGTATGTATGTATGCTCGAACTTATCGATATGTATCTGCGCCTAATCTCGTATTGTTTATATGCGTGTGTTTGTGTGAACTATAATACGTACACCTGTATGTCTGTGTGCGCGAGAGAGTCGTCATCCCAAACGGACACACAGGAGATTTCCTCCCTCCCACCACCAAACATAATTAAACACAAGCATAAATACATCCAATTTTAAAAAAATAAACCAGTTTGTCTGATGATCGCAAAAGCGTGAAACACAGGGTCACAAACTCATATCCATACAATTAAATATATTAGCTCTATCACTGATATGGAGCACTTTCCAAGAAGTACTATGCATATAAAATAAAATAAAATATATATATATATATTTTCTTCACTCTTATTCATACGCACTTAGTTTACAAACACAAGTACAAACGTACGTACATATATACAAACGCACGGACATATATACATACACACACACACACACACATATATATTAATTCAAACGTTATTTTTAGTAGATTGATTTTTTTTCGATTTCTTAATAGAATATTTTTGGGGGATAATAATGTTTTACCGATACAAGTCCTATTAATTAACCCATAGCTGGAGGGAAGTGTTCGATTTGTATCTTTCTAAAGGCTATTTACACATGAATGTATATAACGAATCCAACTATTTTTGGAACTCGGCTCTTCGATTTCAAATTCACAGCCATTATCCATTAAATCAATCATACATCCAATCATTCAATCATACAGCAGCCGGTATTCTCAAACGTAATTTTAGTGGATACCCGTATTTGAATAGACGCTCCACTTTATTTAAAACGTTGTTTATTTCATTGACCGGCCTATGCGCTCGAGAAAAGTTGATAATGAAAATGTATCCATCGGTAGGATTCGAACGTGCCTTTTCCAGGAGGATTCACTGTTTAATCATGCAAATCTAGACACGGAATAAAGAATCGGAGAGCGGAGTTTGAATTCCATTTGAGTTCATTAGAATCACTTACATGCTAATATCTTTGGGAAATTTATGAACATTATTTTCCCTCACCCCCAGCTATGGGTAAATAGCAGAAGATACTGTGTCCTATAGCCTTGGATGGCAACCGGTCTAGGAGAAGGAAAACTCTGAATTCAACACTTTATGTAGATCTGGCGAAATACTATGCAGCTAAGGAAAGGATCTTTCGCATTGACTCGATGATACCGACTACGGTCGAGAAATCTGTGTGTGTGTGTGTGTGTGTGTGTGTGTGTGTGTGTGTGTGTGTGTGTGTGTGTGTGTGCGCACGCGCTTGGTATTTTCCCGTGGGAAAGCCGTATATGAATGGCAGCGTTGAGTGATTGGCATTTGAGAAACAAGGGACCCAAGAGTGAAATGAAAAAAAAAAAAAAAGGCCTAACGTGTCAACTTGTGAAAGTCCGTTGTGACTGTGACAGTAAGGTCTAGAATAGAAAAGAGTAACGGTAATGAAAGGAGAAAAGCATGGGTTTGCAAAAGAGGAGAGAAGAGAAATCGATGGGCAATACAAGGAGGGGGAGTAGTAGGCAAAATAGAGGAGAAGGATAAAGAGTGGTAGGTAGAGATATTTAAGAAAGTAGGATTCTGAAGTGAAAGAAGGAAGACTCAAGATGAAAGTATGAAACGTTAAAGTGTATTTAAATAAGAGAAAAAAACAGTTTGCTAAAGATAACAAGTAAGAAGAAGGATTAATTTGTTTTTTACGGTTTATCAACCCTTTGTACATTATTCAAGGCGAAAAATTCTATATGGTATGAACATTTTTTTTTTATGGAATTGTATAAAGCATTAACAATTTCTAAGAATAACAATGACTTTTCCAGATACAAGTTATACTATTTAACCCATAATTGGTAAGGAGAATAAATAGATTCATGCCTTTTTCAAGGTCATTTGCATTAAAGTCTCATTTTTCTCATTTTTTCTAAGTTTCTATTTAGGAAACTGAAAGGAAATCGCCCGGTTCACACACCTTCTCGTCTTTTTAACAGGAGTAGAGGTTTATCCTTTTCTTCCTGTTTAGGATTGAGTTTCCGGTTCCCTTTAAAGTCTTTTCCTTCTCTTCCAGTTCCATTGTCCTCCTTACGTCATGGGGGCATTATCACCTAGTCTGCGGAGGTACTTCTTACTCTGTAACCCTCTACCTCGATTGGTTCTTGGGCCTTGTACAGGTTGAATATAAATGTAAAAAAAAAATCATCAGTAGAGTATCGTGATATATAAGAACTGAAACATATTTTGAATGGTATGAATAATTCTTTTTGTGCAAGTGAATATTGCGTTAACGATTTTTGAGAATGACAATAATTTTTTTCAGATATACGTCCTATTATTTAGCCCATAGCTGAGGGGGAGATTGATTTATACATTTTCCAAGAGTATTTGGTTGCAAGTGAATGTAACAAACCCGACTGCAATTCGAACTTGGTTCTCTGATTTCACATTTCGAGCTCCTATCACCACCCGCACATTTTTAATTAATCGTTACCTATAAATAAAACAATTTTCAATTACTATGGTAAAATTGAAGAAGGTAATACCACTCTAATCGATATCTGTCTATATTTCTGAGACGAGGTATTATGTACATTATTTACATTATTCGGACTATTGTCCTCATCTTTGTCGCCATATTTATTACAACGTTTCAGCCCTTCATTATCTGTCTATATTTCTGAGACGAGGTATTATGTACATTATTTACATTATTCGGACTATTGTCCTCAACTTTGTCGCCATATTTATTACAACGTTTCGGCGTCCAGTATCTGTGTATAATTCTGAGATGAGGTATTATGTACACTATTTACAATATTCGGACTTGTCCTCATCTTTGTCGCCATATTTATGACAACGTTTTGGCCGTGGTACGCTCCGGCCTTCTTCAGGTGGTTGGAATGTCGAACTTAACCCTTTATTCCTCAAGGACACATGGCACAGTGGATAAAGGCGTTGGTTAGATCTAGTGACAGGACCCAAAGAGTTCAATACCCGGTTAAGGCAGTGGAGAACTTTCAGAGGGAAATAAACGGGAGATAACTGATAACTGATAAGAACAAAATAAAGGGTTCAGTTCGACATTCCAACCACGAATGCGCATGAATCGTGGGATGCCTGTATTTCCAGTTGGCGTTCGATCCCAAGTGAAACCTTTCAGTTCGAATGCTGACTTTTTAGGTAGGAAGTGTCTTGCGTGATCGATTATTAATACAACACAATATTTCGATTCCATCTCATAAATATGGACTAGAAGATCGAGAAGAAGAAAATTGAATGTGAAGCTTAAGTTCAGAAAAGACACCAGGTAAATAGAAAGAAAGAAGATTTGAAAAAGAAGGAAAAAGAAAATATCTAAAAAATTAAATGAAAAAGGAAACAAGAAAAAAACGAAAGAGAATAAATGTAAAATATTGGTACAATCTTCTTTCCTTAATGTGCCGTGTCTTTTCATGACATAAACAATCATGGCTCTCCACATCCTCCTGTCTGTTATAACTCTCGTGTCCCTGAACTTTCAGCTGCCTCTTCCTGGTGTTAAGTTTCCTTTCGTTTGCATCATCTCCAAAACCTCATCTTTGCTCATATGTTCTGCTCATGGTATCTTTAGCCTCTTTCTGTAGAACCCAGCCTCGAGTCTCTTCTTCATCCCTTGTAGAGATTGACCAACATTCGCTACCGTAAAGATGTGAAAAAGAAAGGAAAAAGTGCCAGAAGGGAAAGGAGAGAAGTGAAAGAAAGGAGGGGGAAAAGAAGAAAAGAAAAGAGAAAAAAAAAAGCAAAAACACGTGACATATGACATTGAAGGCGCGGATTTATTTCACTTGCACGATACTAAAAAAAAGAAAGGCAGTAAATTATAGCAAATGAAAAAAACTTGTTCTTTTTATTGATTCCCGCGGCAAATGAAAATCGATTCCTGCATCAATGAGGCAATGATTTTGGCCTCTTTTCGTCGACGAACTACAGTGGCACGTGATCTGTAATACTTTTTTTGTTTGTTTTTTTTTTTTTGTTTTTGTTTTTTTTGGTGCCTGGTTGCTAAGGCAGTGGCCAAGGTCGATTGCCTTTATCACACGAAAGGATGCCAATTGTCCTGTTATTTAACCATAGCAGGATTGGAAAGACGTAGATTTATATCTTTTCCGAGGTTATTAGTGCAAATTGAACGCAGGATATCTCAACCGAAGTTTGAAATCGCTTCATCAATTCCATTTCTGTTAATACTTAAGAAACTCTCATCTGTATACAATGATACTTCTGGCTATTTTAAAAATAACTTATCTCCCTCATACGCTCTCGCTCTCTCTCTCTCTCTCTCTCTCTCTCTCTCTCTCTCTCTCTCTCTGTTAATCTCTCCCACTCCCTGTATATATAGGAGGCACGGTGGAGTAATTGATAGCGGCTCGGATTGAGGAATCAGAGAGCCGAGTTCGAATTACATTCACTTACGTGCTAATACCCTTGGGCGAGGTCTGAATCCTCTTCTTCTCCCTCCACCTATGGGTAAATAGCAGGACAGACTGGGTTCTATAGCCATGGATGGCAACTGGTCTAGAAGAAGGACAAGTCTGAATTCAAAACCTGTGGAGGGTCGTTTGGGGACCTTGTTGCACGTAGTCTCTGTATTCAGGCCTTTAAAAAGTATGGATGATCCTGCACGAAACCTTCACCACTATAACCAAATCTCATGTGCTGTTGTCGGCCTAGAAGCTGATCAGCTTGACCCTTATACGTCGAATTCGACGGGAGAGTCGAGTATATATATATATATATATATACATATATATATATATATATATATATATATATATATATATATATATATACCATGTAGTTAGAACGTTCGCTTTCTGATCATGAGACCTGGGTTCCAATCTCACGACGGTCGATTTATCAGGAAGTCGACTTCTTGATATTATCAGTCTGTGGGAGGCGATCCCTTTGGAAAGTGCCTGAAAAATACATACCACGAAGTGACTCAAGTCTTGTGAGTGACGTTGGGTCGATGGAACTCAGCCATCGATGGTTGTGCTTGCACGAAGTCACAAGCCATCGTGACCGAGATCTGAGAGCCTTGTTCAGACTGTTGCTAGATAATGCGCTCTCTCCCAGAAACTATAAGGTCCGATCAGCATATTTGCAGTATAAACCACAGGTGAGTTCTGTGGGTGTTGAACAAACACAAACGTGCCTGAGCAGGCGTCTACAACGGGGATTAGCTAGCCGCCCTAGTTGAAAGACATCCTCGAATACGAGTGGAGCCATATATATCTCTCACAACCACGCTATCCGGGTTTTGAGCGCTAGATCTCCTCAGGCAGATTGAAAAAGCAGTAGTATAGCGAACTCCACAATAAACATATAGAACACCGGAAGGTGGATGGCACTGGTGGAAGTGGGACGTAGAAGGGGGACGGTCAGAAAAAAATAAAAAATAAAAATAATTTTAGGTGAAAACACTCATCCGGGCTTGTAATTGTTCAATAAATATTTGCGTGCTTGCACCCGATTAACACTTCAGTCCTTTCATTGAGCAACACTTGCTTGTCTGGATAAGTTGCCGTTGCCAACTCCTCCTTCTGACATACACAGCAACACACACACACACACACACACACACATATATATATATATATATATATATATGATGGACTCTCCCGTCGGTTTCGAAGTATGAGGTTCCGACAACTTTGTTTATTTAACCTTGTGTGTGAGTCGCAAGTGACACTTCCGTCCCACTAGCGATTTGCAAAGAAATCCACAGATTGTGCAAGAGTGTGGATTCTTGGAGTATATGGCTGGGACAGCAGCAGATATTTTATTCCTTTCCCCAGTTTGACGAAGCTTGACAATGTTTGATGCTGCCTTGTTCTTGATGCCATTGTAGCATGTAATCTTCCATTCATTACGATCAATTACGATGTTCTCAAAGGTTGTGTGATTTATATTCGCAGCTAAGAGGTTACTCTTCAACTTGTCCCTGTACCTAAGCAAAGGCCGATCCACGTTTCGATGACCATTGTCAAGTTGACCATACATGAGCATATTTGGAATTCTGTTGTCTTGCATACGTAACACATGACCTGTCCAGCGTAATTGTGATTTCATGAGAAAGGACTCAATCCCATCAATATCACACATGGTGAAAAGGTCTGCATTTGCCATTCTGTCGCTTAGGTTTACCCCACAGATTTCCCGAAGACAGCCTTTGTGAAAAATATCTATTTGCTGAATTTGCTTTCTGTATAGTGTCCAGGACTCTGAGCCATACAAAATGGTTGTGAGAACTACAGCCTTTTACACCTGTATTTTGGTTCCAAGCCTAATACCACGATCTTTCCAAAGTCGATGACGAAGTTTTCCGAAGGCACTAGAGGCTTTTGCTACTCTATTGATTATCTCATCATCCAATGTTCCACTTGAATTTACTTTGCTGCCAAGTTAATTAAAGTTCTTTACATACTTCAGATGATGTCCGTCGACTTGGATTGGTATTTCAGGAAATGCAGGAACCGGAGGGTTCTGCTTGACGCCTCTGATCTGCTTAGGTACTGGGGCAGGCTGGCGAACAACTTCAGTTTTTGTAATGCTAATGGTTAATCCGAATACTTTGCAAGCGGCAGAGAATCGGTCCGTCAGGCGCTGGGCTTCTTCAAACGAAGTAGCAACAAAGGCAACGTCATCGGCAAACAACAAGTCGCGAATTATGCTAGTTCGATTTTGAGTTTTGGCTTTAAACCTCTGGTGGTTGAAAAGGCCACCGCTTGTCCTAAATTGAATTTTAACACTATCCTCAGTTTCAGCAAATGTGTTTCAGCATTACAGCATGTTTGGGATACACATATCAAACTCTTTGCCGAAAGAAAGAAGTCTGAGTTCGTTCGAGTTCATTTGCCCAATACCATGATGACCTAAAAGCCCTTCCCAAGATTGAAAACCACTTCTCACCCGAACATTGAAATCACCCATAAGGAGGATTTCATCCTTGTGGCGAATACCAGAGATAACACTCCGAAGTTGGTTGTAGAAGTTATCCTTCTCTTGCTCCGGGCTGGACAAAGTCGGTGCATAACAGCTAACAAGGACTGCACGAGTGTCCTGCTCCAGCTCAAGAGTTAGTGTCATAATGCGGTCAGATAAACCCTTTGGAAGCGACGGAAGAATACGGAATACGGAAGAATAAGTCGGATCTTATGACAAAGCCAACACCTGAGTGCCGTGGCTGTTTCGCTTTTCCCGCTCCAATAAAAATCATATCCCCCCTTTAACTTCGGTCAATTGTGATGTACCCGCAAGTCGAGTTTCACTGAGTGCCGCTATGCCGATATTATACTTTCTCAGTTCAAGACATACAAGGGCTGTTTTGCGCTCTGGTGAAGAGCCATTATCCTGAAGCGTTCGTACGTTCGAAGATCCAAAGAAAAATTTATTGTATTTCAAATTGTTTTGACTGCGTGATTGGGTACCCAGACAACTGCAGTTCGCTGCAAAGGTTAAAGTGAACATGCAATTATTTTAGGGATCCTTTTCTCGACCCCTCCCCAACTAAGGGGAAAGCAGTGCTAATCCTAAATAGGCCTGCTTTGTCACCGATGGAGGACACGAACCGCACAAATTGCTCAGAGGTTTTGTGCGAGAACGGCCATCACCCATCGGCCTGCCATTGTTCAGTTATCCAGCTAGAGACACCCAGCAATATCCTTTGCCTGCCCCCATCGCTTTCACACTATCGCCAATGGACTTGTTTTGCGTGTAGGACTTAATGATAACACACATAAGTTATTTTAACGTGAATTAAGTTGTCAGAAACCCACACATGCTTTGATTATAGTGGCGAAGGGAACTGCTGATAACATGACGTCGGTGCAAAAGTTTGCCACGGACACCATGAACAACAGACCTCAGGTTTTTCATCAGAGTGTCCTTCTCCTAGATGCCTGTCTTATCAAAGACTGAGGGGAGCATCTCTCCCAGTGGTTTATCCGCGCACCCAGACACCAACCTGGGTACTTCTACGTCCCGGCGCTATATATATATATATATATATATATATATATATATATATAAATTATATTAAATGATTGTCCCTTTTTAATCAGTTTAATTATATATATATATATATATATATATATATATATATATATATATATATATATATAATTAAACTGATTAAAAAGGGACAATTATTTAATATAATTTATGTTTATACGTTATTGTCGGACTTAGTCGATTTTATTATAAGTTGTCATTGTTTATGTTAATATACATTTCGTGAGCTGAAAAATCGATCGTGAAAAATCGTCCAAGATTATGTGTTTACAAAAAGTAATTTGAACTTTGCTAACCAGACGCTTCTCTGTAGCTAAATAGTATAGCACGTCAGATCAAATGATGGTTTCCGGATAGGAATACAAGTTCGATTCTGTCGGAGAAAACATATTTTCTATGAAATTTCTCGAACATTCAAGCCGGTAAATCTAATTAATACTATTTAATTAAAAATAGAAAATATACTTAAATAAATTGTATCTATAAAAATAACGTATATATATATATATATCACTTTAAACGTTATTCTCAGTGGATACTCATGTTTGAGTAGACACTAGATTTACTTGAAACATTATTTTATTTCGTCTACCGGTCTGAATATTCGAAAAATCTCAATAAAGAGAATGCGCCCACCGACAGGATTCGAACCCACGTCACCCTTTGCAGGAGAAAATATCTTTAGACCTGACGTGCTTACCTAATTCGGCTACGAAAAGCGTCGTGATTATGCCAGGCTGTGT